TTGTAATGATGGAAAGGGACATGTCCATCACGCAAGACTAGCCTCATCTTGGCTATTAAGACCCGACATTAATGGCTTCTCAAATCACATCCCGTCATTCATAGGACACGGGCGGTTTGCTAAACTCATCAGGCGAAAGATGTTGACGAGACGGAGATATTGAAGTTGATACCAAGGCAACTATCTTCATCAATCCACGGGTGAAAAGAGGAGAATAAGAACTCCCTTGCCAATTCTAATTTCTTCCGTTTCTGTTGTGGTGTGGTACAGAATTTCCGCTTATAGTTTGGTATTGATGAGCTAGAGTGCTGTTTTGATGAATGAATGGTGTGCTGACCTTAAGTGCTGGAAAAACCCAAATAAAGCAACAATATATTTCTTTAAAAAGCAAGGCAAAAGTAAAAGCTCGCCTGATAAAGTTTCGCCTACAATTTGATAGCGCCCTAATTCCACATCGTCGGTTTGTCATTGGCCCGTTGGTGTAACAATCATTTCGCCGGTTTGCTGCATATTTTATTTGACTGTCAGTTCCTGCGACATGTATTGGCCCTTGCAGCAATATTAATATCGGATAAAATTAGACCAAATAGGTTCAAGATCAAAGGATATTAGACGAATTGGTGATTTTATCAGATGAATAATGGTCAAAACGGGGATTTTGTGTACAAAAAAGTTGGCAAAATAACGAATAGGGTTCGTAAAGAACAGGCGAAATAGGTTTAGATGATGAGACGAACTGGAGATGGGACAACTTGTTTTTGCTCCGAATGACAATTGCTCTCAGAACAAAATGACAATTTATTAAGTACTCATGATGAAATTGTTGCCCCCCCCCCCCCCCCCCCCCCCCCCTCTGACGTGCATGAAGTGTTATAAAGACCTAGTTGAGTAAAATAAAAAGATATAAATATGAATGGTAGAACTGAATCTTTCAAAAGTCGGAAGAGAAGCTTACAGCCCAACCATCAAAAGGTATCATTATAATTTCATAAACGATACTCTTTGTCAATGGAAACATTTAGATATGACACCTCAGTATTATTCCAATACTCTTACTGAACAAACACTGTACTGGGTGCTATTAATAAGACGTCATCAACTTGGGATATATCGCAGTTTTTTTGTCAGCTCGCGAAATTTCCCCGGAGGTACGTATTGGCGCGAGATCCCGTCAACGAAGATATAAGTTAATCTGATATCTGCTATAACTGCTACTTTGACCCCTTACCCTCTCATCCCGCCCTCTCCCTTCCCAAGGCGCGTAGCCAGGGGGTGGTGGGGCGATCGCCCCCCCCAAAAAAAAAAAAAAAAAAAAAAAAAAAACGCCGGCCAAAAAAAAAAAGAGAGAGAGAAAGAGAAGAAAAAAAGTAAGAGGACGTAGGAAGAAAAAGAGAAAAGGAGTCGAGAACGGTACAACGAATCGTCTTCTTTCTCTAATAATTTAATGAAACATGAAAGCTTCCGCGCGGGAAGGGGGAAACTGAGTTCAAATTAAGGATTAAGAGTCGGGAAAGGTACAACGAATCGTCTTCTTTGTCTAATAATACGTCAAAGCTTCCGCGCTTCGCGCAGGAGGAGGGGGGGGGGGGGACTGAATTCAGACAAGGATTAAGAGTCTAGAAAGGTACAACGAATTGTCTTCTTTCTCTGATAATTTAATGAAATGTCTAAGCTTCGCGCGAGAGGAGGGGGGGGGGGAGGGATTAGAAATCAGACAAGGATTAAGAAGTCGAGAACGGTACTTTGAGTCGTCTTCTTTCTCTAATAATTTAATGAAACTTCAAAGTTTTGCGCGGGAGGGGAGGAAACTGAATTCAGATAAGGATTAAAAGTCGAGAACGGTACATCGAATCGTCTTCTTTCTCTAACAAATTAACGAAACGTCAATACAGATAAGGATTAAGAGTCGAGAAAGGTACAACGAATCATCTTCTTTGTCTAATAATACGTCAAAGCTTTCGCGCTATGCGCAGGAGGGGCGGACTGAATTCAGACAAGGATTAAGAGTCGGGAAAGGTACAACGAATCGTCTTCTTTCTCTAATAATTTAATGAAACATGAAAGCTTCCGCGCGGGAAGGGGGAAACTGAGTTCAAATTAAGGATTAAGAGTCGGGAAAGGTATAACGAATCGTCTTCTTTGTCTAATAATACGTCAAAGCTTCCGCGCTTCGCGCAGGAGGAGGGGGGGGGGGACTGAATTCAGACAAGGATTAAGAGTCTAGAAAGGTACAACGAATTGTCTTCTTTCTCTGATAATTTAATGAAATGTCTAAGCTTCGCGCGAGAGGAGGGGGGGGGGGGGAGGGATTAGAAATCAGACAAGGATTAAGAAGTCGAGAACGGTACTTTGAGTCGTCTTCTTTCTCTAATAATTTAATGAAACTTCAAAGTTTTGCGCGGGAGGGGAGGAAACTGAATTCAGATAAGGATTAAAAGTCGATAACGGTACATCGAATCGTCTTCTTTCTCTAATAAATTAACGAAACGTCAATACAGATAAGGATTAAGAGTCGAGAAAGGTACAACGAATCATCTTCTTTGTCTAATAATACGTCAAAGCTTTTGCGCTATGCGCAGGAGGGGTGGACTGAATTCAAACAAGGATTAAGAGTCGGGAAAGGTACAACGAATCGTCTTCTTTGTCTGATAATACGTCAAAGCTTCCGCGCTTCGCGCAGGAAGTGGGAGTGGGGAACTGAATTCAGACAAGGATTGCGAGTCGAGAAAGGTACAACGAATTGTCTTCTTTCAAGGCTTCCGCGCTTTGCGCGGGAGAGGGGAAACTCCCCCCTCCTTGCACCCATCCCCCTAGGGAGCTCGCTGCGCGCGCTCTTTAAGTGATTCGCACACTTCGCGTGCTCACTACCGCCCCCCCTAAAATAAAATCCTGGCTAGGCGCTTGCCCTTCCCATCCAGTTTTATTATCATGATCTAACTGATCGGGGAGGGGGGGGGGGGGCTTCTCTGAGGGATACACTTTTCGCCTCTCTATTTTGCCTCATCGACCTCTCAATAAATAGACTTAGAGGAACACACGAGGCTGAGCAGTCAAAGACTTCAATGCAATGGTCAATATTAACTCAGCGATTGGGTTACGTCGGGTTGGTACTTGGGGAATAGAGGCGAGAGAGTCAGAGCAATAGACTCCGATTTATTGAAGAAGAAAAGAGAAGAAGATGGAAAGAGAGAGGGGATATCTCTCAGGGAAAAGCGAGTGAAGAGGTGTTATCATAGAGGTGATATGTTAACCCATGCAGTCCCGTCTATTACGGTTGCCATTGACTCTGTGCGTACCATTTATTTTGCTAGTTATCGCGATTAGAGAAGGGTTAACCGGGATTGAGGAGGGATCGATGGTGACCGGTGTAAATGGAATAATGCAAGTGGTGTGCATGTGTGTGTGTGTGTGTGGGGGGGGGGAGGGGGTTGGGATGGGCGGGAAAGGGCATCACAAAAACGATGAGTATCGAGAACAAATTTATGATATAAGCATGATAGATCTACCTCTATAGTACTAGCTGATACATGTTGTATGTATATTAAAGCCGATGAAAGTATTGGGAAAGAATAACAAATTACACACACAAAAAAAAGCATGTGGATGTATTTGAACTTACAGAGAAACTCTTGGCAGTTTTCATGAGCAGTATATCATTGCTATGTAAGTGATACTGCTTTACATGTCGCTTTTTTGTATCTATGAGGGAGGCATTGCCTACAAATGAAATGAATTCGTGTTTCATTTGTAGGCAAACCTCCAAACTTGTATTTGGTCTTAGAAAAAGGGAGAGAAAAAGGAAGAAAACTTGCGACTCAGTAAAAATGAATGTATGCCAAACGCTGACCATGTTGTCAGGGTTGCTGAAACCCAGAAGGCGCTCTCTGGGCTATTCATTGTGAACCTGTCGATTGATCGATTCTGACCCGAACGACACTGAAAACAAAACCATGTGACGGCAGCATCTCACTTTCATGGCGAGTAAGTTTGTATACCTCATTCCTCAGTCACACCGCCAAACCGACACTCAAAATCGACTCCACACCGACCGATTCTTGGATATCCGTAAACCTCTTGATCAGTCCCGGTGTCGGTCTGGCGTCGGTCCCAGCGGTGTTCAAGGGGTATAAGTGACACAATCAAAACGGAGTCTGAACCAACCAATTCTTGGTCATTCAGTGTAGTGTAATATGTTACGCCATGTTATGTTGGTCTCTTGTTGGTGTAACCTCTGTCACTGGGGTTTTAGGAGAGCTATTGTTAATTAGATATGGAGATATTGAGGGATATATATTATAGTTGCACCACTAAAATCTGCAATGGGAAAATTTGGAATTAATATGTTTGGCGATTCTAAATTTTCCTGAACTTTGCAGCCTTGTAGGCGCATTAATGTTACGGGGGAATTTAATTGCTTAACTCGTATTTTTTTAATGGAAAAACCTCCTTGAACACCCCCTCAATCAAAACTGTTTAGATAGTCGTAATGTACTGCAATTGTAACCACGTGTCTTTCAATCTGAAACGGCTGTTGTGGACTTGTCATAATACCGATACGACGAGTAAGCATGGACAAGATAACATAGTACTCTCTGCCATCTTTATTTCAAAACACTCCCATTAAACGAACCCTCCATTCTACCAAATGATTTATATCAGGTTCTAATCATATATAAATCAAGCGGAGCTGCAACACGTGCGTTTAATAGTGTAATACGACCAAGAAGTTACTCTTTGATACGACATCGCTTTCATTTGCCGAGGTGTTATCAGATAACCTAAAATGTCATCCAGACTTTAACGAATAGGAAACAAGATTTGTTACAGTAAACGAGATGACTTCGAGCAGAGCAAGCGTATACTGCAACATCTGTGAAAGCTCCCAACATGGCTTGAAGACGTCAGAGTGTGCATATCATAAAAAAAAGTTGATGAAAACCCCTAAACTAGGTGCAAATCAATCATACAAGATATGAATGAGAAAAGAAATCATACTGGTTCATTATGCTCTCAAGATTGTTTGCTGCAGCAGAGTTAGGATTTCTTGCCATAAGCCGTCTTTGCCTCAGCCACACGTCCGGAGAACAGCACTTCTGCACAGGACCAGCTGCAGGCGACGACATATACAGAGCCCTTTCAAGCATACCTCCTACCAGGATGTATGCCTTGTACCTCCTCGTTATGGCGTTTATTGCACTTCATACGCTGTCTACGGGATGTCCCTTCCACCATCCACCATCGGAACCGTCGACACCATCCGTCTGCCACACCAAGTGCCCTTCAGGATGGCACAACTACCTTGAGAATCATTGCTTCGTCATGGTCGGGGAACGACTGCCATGGGCGAAGGCAGAAAAACGTTGCCACGAGCTCGTCCTAGAAGCATGTGGACAGGGTGTGATGGGCCATCTGGTAAGTTTCTCTGTTTCTAATTTTCATTTTGATCATATTTTTTTTCTTCTGTACAATTGTTAGATAGTATGAAGTACATGTTGCTCATTGATTTGCCTGAGTAATGTTTCTCAGGGCATGCGATGTAGAATTGAATGATTTATTTCACAGCATATTGCAATTGCTTACTGTTAAGAAGGTAAAAATATGCCAAAGTTGCTGAAAAACAGGAATGAATGAACTTATATAATGAAGCGCCGATTGTCAACATGTTCATTCGATGAAAAAACTGCATGTGCCTGCAAGAACAACAAAAGCGAACGATGAACGTCATTTCGAAGATTTCTTTCTAAACCGTAAACATTTTGTTAAATCATTTTGATCTGTTGATACAGACTTACTCCTCTTAATATAGAGGGGAGGGTGTGACACTTTGAGTTCCATAAGACAATGGTACAAAGTTAAACCACCTGTAACGGCTCGTTCGAATATGACGCGGTAAACAACCACACAAAACGCCGCCTCGGCTTAGTTACGTGTATTAGATTGCGACTGGGTGCAACAAAAGTCTTGCGCGTATTCACCGAGCTACGCTTTAAGCCATCATTAAAATAATAATTTTAAAAAAACCGTCGCATGTTTGCTGTGTCTTAGCTGATCAAGGCTTAGTCACCGTTGTACATACAGGCCAATTTGTTGGGTAGTAAAGTGCACCAAAATGCTCTTGTTACAGGCCTCCATCAACGGCGAGGCAGAAAACAGCTTTGTCCACGTCCTGTGGCGGCGCATGGGCCGCGGGGACCTGGCAATTGACACGCTATATTGGATCGGACTCACCAAACAGACCGGACAATTGCAATGGACGGATGGCTCCCAACCGCTGTACGCTAACTGGGACACCGGCGTCGAAGAAAATCGTAAGTGTGTCAATTTGTTTACATACAGATTAAACATTTATTTATTATTTATCTAATACTTATGCGACCCGCTTAATTCCAAGAGGCGTTTTGACAAATTGTTTAAACCATATTTTTCAGATTAATTATTTGCACTACAATATCACATTAAAACAAAATATTCTTCTAAACAGTAAGACAAAAGTTATTGGTAAATTTACTTTTCATTCCAAAAAGGATTAACTCCAAAATGTTTTAAAGGGATCGTTTAACAATGTTAAATCTGAGATGCATGGCCCTACGTGTTATCAGTGTCTGTGGTACGGTGTTATAATGAAGCCCTAAAAGAATGCGCTTCAAATGATCAAGAAGTGCCTCAAAAAAGTAAAAACATTTGAGTGACTGGTTTTACCATACTCATTTCCCCCAATAGATCGTAGTGTTATGAAAACCGTTCGCAAACGCAAAATTTGATTTCGATTTTCAATCATAAATATCTTGATAATCAGACAGGCGATCTGCTTGTAAAAGTCATGGGGTTCCTGACCTAAAGGTTAATAATTATCACTGCAGCATGAGCTAAATCAAGGATTGTCAAAGGATCTAAGACAAAGTTACCGGATCTCTTTATTTCAAAGGGGTTAAATTAAGTATGATGATTACATTTCTTCTCTTTTAAAGCACTTTTCAAGGAGATAAGGTTCGGGATAGTTGTAGATAATAACCAGTCTGGATGATCAGTGCAAAGGTTTAAAAACATGTCAAGTATTTTCATCGAATAATTTAAGATTTGTTTTCGTTTTGAAATCCGAAAGAGTTGCATTTAGAGAAAAGTGAATTCAATTATTTTTTTGGCAATAAAAGTTGAATATTTAAACAGATTATGAAATTTTCTCTTCTAGCAGTAGTGATAAGTTTCGCATTTGGGGGGGGGGGGTTAGAAATTACACACATTTGGGCAGCGAAATGGTCACTCGTATTTTCATATTCCATTTCGTATTTCATTTTCTATATTTTGTTGATAAGTAATTTTAAATTTCGAATCCGTAAAGTGACGAAATATTTTCTGACTCGCTTCGCTGGCTCGCTATACTTATAAAAAGGAAAGTTGATGTTCATGCGAGCAACGTGACCCCCTCCCATTGTTCTTTCCCATACGCCTATGTTTGTTTATCTGTGAATAATTGAGGAACTTTTTGTTGAAGGGAGCTAGCTTGGAGTTCAGAGGAAATTGAACAATAGTTTATATCCCGGTCGATGTCATTTATCTGTTAAAATGCCCGTGGATATTATGTGTGGAACGTTTAGTAGAACATTCATTCACTTATCACCTTTCTTGATTGCTTTTACGTCTGCGGCCAACTTTCAGTAATGAACATTGATTGGAATTCAGTAACTCGTTTACAATAGCTTTGTTACCAGCCTGCCACGCGCAAGTAGGAAATTGGATGTTGAGGTCTTGGCTGGAGTGAATAATTCATGGTTGTAGAGCTGGAAGGGAAGCCTTTAGGCAGTATTGTATGTTTCTTTTTTTTTCTTCTTCTCCTTAATGCCAAAAGTGACTTTGACCGACTTAATTTGTCCATGGTGAAGGGAAATTCTGAAGGATATCACGAACATTTATCTATCAATGACTCCTTGACTCATGAAGTTTTAAGACTACTTTGAATAAGTTTCTATTTTTTTAACTGCCGTGCATCCAGAAAGCTAGAGTGCGGATGAGCAGAGTATGTTTATGGGTGACTTACTCCAATACTCCACCCCTGTTATTCGAACTGTCTTCGTTGTTCCCCTGCATCATGGTATATATTATAGATATATTGACTGCTATGAGAGGCATAGCTGTTTCTAGTATATTGGCTCTCGGGGACGTTACATCCTGCTATGACTCGAATATTAACAGAGTCCATATATCTTTTATATACCGAATTCACACACAAAAATGTACAAAGAAGTCTTGCCTTATTATCCTTTTCTTGAGTAAAGATTGTTTAAAACAAGGAGATGTGAGAAACTCAAATCTCCCTGGTTAAAACGTCTCAGATAATCTGAGACACAGTCTGTTAATCTTCGCTGGAAAGCTGCACTGTAAGATATCCGCGCTCGCACAAAGAAACTTTTTACATGTAAAGCGATGGGGATCTCAGCAGAATTTAACTATCCCCGTTACCCGGGGCAACGGGCATAGTTCGTTTCTTTGCGGGCATGGTTAAAGTCACGACTATTATTTCGACCAATCAAATGACTAGATTTATTAAACATACTAATAACAGTTGTTTATATATATATATATATTATAGTATTGATGACTGCTTTGAGAGAAATAGTTGTTTTTATACGCTCAAGGGAAGGTTAGAATTGTGCTATTACCCGAGGCGTGCCGAGGGGAATAGCCCAATTGTAACCTTCCCGAGAGCGTATAAAAACAACTATTTCTCGAATATTAAAGCAGTCATTAATACTTTCATATGCCGAAAAAAAAAGAAAAAAAAAAAAAGAATTTTTTTTTTTTGTCGAAGATGGGTTTCGAACTCTTGCGTACCAAAGGTATTGTTACTGAAGTCAGCGCCAGCGCGCTCTGTCACCATGAATTGAAAACGGCTTCGCGTGGTCGATGCTTCGCCGCTGCTCCATTAAACGGGCCCTTCTTTTACTTTTGCAATGCATATTGGCACGAACTTAGATCAAGATCTATTGGCAGATGTTGTTTTTAGAAGTTTATGTTCGTCTTCATGTCAACAATGCAAGATAAAATTGTCGGTAAGATCGATCGAGATTCAATTGTATTGAAATTACCGACCAATTCTTCGCACACGTACGGTATACTCGATCGCTCAGACCATTTTTTAACATGTAAACCTATGGGGTAACCATGGAGACTGACCTATTTTCCCAATAACCATGGTTATTGGGATTTTGAACTGTTTTTTAACCATGGTTACCGGGAATTTTCGGGAACAGTTAAAGTTTATGAATGCAATTTCGACCAATCAGATTGCTGGATTACTTGAGTGAGGTATATAAATATATATATATATATGTATATACCTAGATGGTAGTGGTAGTATAGTAGTGAGATAGTTAGGCCATGGTTTGGCTCAGGAGTATATGCACACTAAATCACTTAGGCCTACATGCATGCACGTTCCAACTCGTTCGCCGTCTGTCCGTTTGTCTGCCTGTCTGTATCTCGGTCCTCCACCCCACTTCTCTCTCTCTCTCTCTCTCTAACTCTCATGGTCACTCTCCATCTCCCCTTATATGGACAACAATGCCTTCTTTTTTCTGCCTTTAATCTCACAATCTCTCTCTCTCTCTCTCTCTCTATCTTGATTTATTCATTTATATTTTTGTATTTATTTATGTGTTTATTATTTATGTGTTTATTATAATACATATTCATCTTTTCATTTATTTATCTACTCATTAATATATTAGATTATTTGAGATAATTCAGTAAAAATTGGATTTTGCCAGAAGCCCCTGTTGATACACAACAAACATGTAAAATGAATGTATTCCAAAAAAATCCGATACAGAAAATCATTATTTCTATCTCTCTCTTGCTCTCCCTCTCTTGTTCTCTCTCTCTCTCTCTCTCTCTTGCTCTACCCCCTCCTCCTCTCTCTCTTCGATCATTTCTATCGTCATCTATAGTTGACAGCATCGACGGTGTCTGCGCTTACGTGTCTGGTTCTGGAAGAAGCCAGGGACGGTGGGACGCTGGTGATTGCAGACGACCGATGGATCGAGTCAACGGTCTCCCGTTCGCCTGTGAGCTAGCCCGAAATCCGGACTTGGTTCAGCCCTCTGCAATTCCTGGACCTGCATAGATGGAGCAGAGCGCCATCTATGCCGAAAAAGAATTCGTTTGTCGGGAGCCCGAAGGACGTTAACTTTGTGTAAAAGATATAACTTCCCTTCTGGCTTCAACAGACTTGTAAATACAGAGTGACAACTGCCATGCTTCAATTCCGGTGGGGATTCTTTTTGAGTCTGGTCTTACGAGTATGAAGAATTTGACTTTGAATCCTAATGATTGCTTTTCTTCTCGTTCTTTATCTAATTAGAAAATAAATGTGATTTCCAAATAATTCAATCAAAACGCATCGTACTTTAAGTTTATTGCTTAACATTAAAGGAATTGAATGATTAGTGAAAGCTAAACAAACATAAGATATGTACTTCTTCAGTTGTTGTAGTTTGCAGAACAGAGAGGTTTGGTTACACCAGTGGCGGATCCAGGGGGGGGGGGGGGCCCGGGGGGCCCGGGCCCCCCTCCTTGAGAAAAAAATCATGTAAAATCACGTGATTTTTACCTTTTTGGGGGGTTGGGCCCCCCCCTCCCCCTGGCGCTCAAGGGGGGGTGCAAATTGAATTTTTTTTTTGAGAATCAAAAAAAAAAAAAAAAATGTGCTCACTACAGTGTGTTTTTGTGTACGTGAAACGGACGTGGTACGAACTTAAGTTGGACGAAGAGTAAAAATATAGGTTTTCCCGCCCAATTTCATCAGAGTTGCATTCGAATTTTATGAATAAGCGTTCAAGTTCGAACGATTTTCGTCAACTCTCTGCTCTCATGGTTCATTTTCATTCTTTGAGCTTTCAATTTCGTTTTTTATCATTCCTTTTGAATTTTATTTCATTCAATTTAGAGAGAAATCCATTCAATTTAATGACGCGAAGTTTTCATTCAATTTCGCGCCAGCTGGATAGACGTTCAATTTCGTCCTTAATACCACTTTCAATTTCATTTATAGGCACACACCTTCGAACTTTGAAAGTTCGAATTAAATTAACATAAACAAGTTCTGTAGTTCTATGTAATTCTTACCGCAATATTGTCACATCATATTTACCCTTTTTCATTTTCATTTTTAAAGTTTCATAATGTTTATTTTAATCATATTTTATATACCTAGCTGAGGTAGCTCTGTCCGTATTCGAGAAATTCATGTACGCTCCTTGAGCCACCGCCATATAGTCATGTATAAATGAATGTATGCGTATAATATGAAAGTGGAGTTATACGAGCTCTTGCTTCGAATACGGTTTGTCAGAGGAATGAGCTATTTCAATATAAGCCAAAGGTCCCATTTCAAGGTACATAAAGTTTGCATAATTTATTCAAAAAGATGCAGATTGCAAAGAACATATACATTAAACAAAAAAGACTTCCCAAATGCTATGATTGCCTTTTCGTGAATTTGAATACCTTAACGTTCATCACGGCGGTGCAGGTGCGAATTTGAATGCATTAACTTGCTTTTTTAATTTGAACGCGCTTTTTACACGTTTATGTGAGAAAATCATGAAATCGCATGCTTATACAATTAAATTGAATGAACTAATTAGCTTTTTGAATGTTGATCTCGGTAATCATTCAAATTCGCTCGAAATTGAATGATCGCTTCGTTAAATCGGATGCAACTCTGATGAAATTGGGCGGGAAAACCTATATTATGAAGTTAGGAAGATTCAATTTCATCCGCAAACAAATGTATATTAATTATGTCCATATTTAACTTCGTTCTAGTGCTTCTTCTTCAGTTGAAGAAGTAAATTACAAGTTACTATAAAACAAAATATTTGACGGTGTCGTTTTTTCTAATTACACCAGAGCCTGCATTTAATGACAAGCACGTTATTAACGATTTTAAAGTAGAGCTAACGCTTCGGGCAAGGGATGTGTGAAATACAGTACCTGGTAAGGGGAGGGATGTTTTAATACCCGATGGCCTACTTTAGGTATCTTGCAGTACAAGTTCAAAGCAAAGAGGAGGTTCGCAAATAGGATTCCAGGGATTTGCTGGGTTTAATTCCTAGAATAAATCTTGCGTTAGCGATTAGATCAATCAAAGCGGAGAAGGATTATACGATTACCATCGACTCGCAATCAGCCTAACTGATCCGTAATCCACCTCTCGGCTATAATATCCCATGGTAGCTCAATGTTTGTCAACCGCTCCAGGTTCTTTTCACGGATTCAGATACGCAATACGCAATACCCTTCAATCTCTGCCGGTCGTTAGCATACAGAGGAAGGGTGACGATTAAGATGCAAGTCAATTCAGCTGGTTCAACAACCTAATTGGATTCCGCCCTCTATCGTTCTCTGATTGTACATTTGGGTGGCAGATATAGTCGCAATTAAAACGGTGGAGCCTTTGCTCTTGTTAACCTTCACATGTCACAGTATTTCGTATGAATTGGTTAGTCAAAGCAAGTGGCGGATCGGAGGTTCCGTAAGAGAGAGAGAGAGAGAGAGGGGGGGGGGGGGGCACAATAATGGACAACTCTTGACAAACCTTAATACGGCCACTGGGTCAACTTAAAGTGAATATATATTTGTTTCTAAAAACGATGAATGGTCATGCGTTGATGTATGATATATGTGTGCATACTACAAAAGAATGAAATGATGACAAGAAATGATTATTGACAAAGTTATTTGCTGATTTTCGGTAATTGAATGATGACATAACTTTTTAACTTTCTACGAAATAATAATGTAATAGCAATAACTGATTATTGATAAAGTTAATCACAGATTTGGTCGTAATTGATGTTAACACAACTTTCTCACTTAAAACTGTAAAACAATTATTATCAATGTGTTTGAAGCATAAAATAGTATAGCAGTAACATTTTAAAATACATAGTTGCAAATCCGTTAAGATATGCGCTTCCATCAAAATACCTCATCTGGTATAATATTGATAATTTGATTGTTTTCTTATTTATACCGCGGTATGAAGATAAATATGGTTCTTGCTTTCACATTGGGTTTTATTTTTCCGTATAATAAACTCAGATAAAAAAAAACATACACATTATTCAAACAGAGAGTAAGAATAAAATATGGCTGGTAGCCCAATTTTTAGCTGCAACTATATTGTTGCTGCTGGTCTTCCATGGAGCCATGGGGCGTGAACTTTTACTTAAATCCATTGCTACACATTGACGTCCAAGGATATATTCCTGCATAACATAAAATGGTAGACACGTCTAGACAGCTTTACCCTTTCCATACTCCTGTTAAATACCAATACAATGGGAATTCTCTGTTAGTTATTTAAAATAAATATTTTCTTTGCGGGATTACGATTCCATTACCTTCGTAGTTTTATAATAATGTTTGATTCTGCCTACACTTAAAGTTGTTTTTACTACTAACAGCTTCCCCTGTGTCGGAATACGCTTGGCTAGCATTTCACAATACATCCCATCCTTCCGCCACTGCATTAAAACTCCTTCCATTCAACTGACAAGACATAACAAGTATTGAAACCAACTAAGCCCCTCTTATAGATATTCAATCATGAAAGATTAATCTAACTTGTTTACTCGCTATCACATTGAAGGATATCACGAAGATTTATCTATCAATAACTCCTTAACTCAAGTTGTTTGAATAAGTTTCTATCTTTTAACTGCAGTGCATCCAGAAGCAAAGCAAGAGTGCCGATGAGCAGAGTATGTGTATGAGAGTCTTACTTTAATATTGAGATGTTTTCCTCTGACATTTTTACCTCTGACATTTTTACCATTGACATTATTACCTCTGACATTTTTACCCCTAACATTTTTACCTGGCACCAATGAAATTGCCTTTCACTAGTTTGATTTTTTCGAAAGTCTTTGGAATCGTGTTATTATCCCATATACATATGTTATTACCCCTTTTACATCTTAGACCATTCGTATAATACCATGCCGGGTAGAAGGTCTTAAAGATAAACTTGAGTTCTGGTAAAAAAAAGAAAATGAATTCTCACAGAAACTAGCAAAACTTACACTGAATGTTCAAGACTACAAATAAATGTCATGTGCCAAACAATTTTGGAAGAAAATGTATACTGGCTGAGTAATGAGCATAGAAAGATAAGGAAATCAGGGTAGTACTAGCCCCGACACCATGTGTGTTGTCCCATATGCATCTTTCTGTGTAAGTGATTGTAACTTTACCAAGACTCTGCCAAATTTATGATGATTTTGATGACTCCAGAACCTTGCATTACACACCATTACACACCATTACTTGCATGCTATATGATCAACTTTTCTGATCCATTCCACACCTTTTCTTTCACAATGCAATCACATTACCAGTACTCAAGTTTATCTTTAATATGGCTATGCCCATTAAAATAACTTTATAATAAATGTATAGTTTGTATAGGTGGGAAATCGGATAATATGAATTTCTGCGTTCCGGAGATGAAATCCCCCTTTTTTCTATCGTGTGTTATCACGACACTCAACCGCAGGCAACTGCCCCCCCCCCCCCCCAACCCTCCACCTGAAAGCGATACTGTTTCAAGCAAATTTAAAACTGGGGATCGAGTTCTCGTGATTAAATCAGAAAATAGATGGTCAAATAGACATTCATGATATATATTTTTGTGGGGTAGTTACATGCAAGCTGTTTTTTCTTAAACCGTTTCTTCGCTATACCAAAGGCATGACTTAGCATAAAACTGTTTCATGCTTCATTGACGTAAGCACATTTTGTGTTTACTCTGTCAATACGTATCCTAAACGTTTCCTAGTGTGTGCCCATATAAATACACCAGAGAAGCATTTAACAATTTTCTCATCGGAAATATTTTATTCTTCGAAAACATTATATCCCATGAGAAATAGAAACTTGCATTTTTTTTTTCGAGAAAAATCAGTTTCAAAGGGGACATTGACAATAAAGGCTCATTTGATGATGATATGTCTTTACGCTGAGCGTGTTTGATAAAAATAGACACTGTTTGCTTATCACGTGATCGTTATGAAGCTATGAGTGTGATGTCATACCCCGCGTTGCCGATAGACGATAGAGACACATTTAAACATAACCCAAGACAACTTTAACTCAATAACGCCCTGCCAAACAACGTCTCAAATTGAATTATGTCAATGGCAAACGTGCTGCGCTGTGTTGGACACTCGGTCTCCTTTCATGAGGCATCCTTCTGGGCTAAAATCACACTTTCGTCATAAAAACGAACCCTTCAATATTTTTCCATCTCAAAATCAATCCTTGTTAGTTGGTAAATTGGTTGTTAATGACCCACGGTTGCGCGTCTTTCAAAGCAGAACTAATGGAAGGACCTAGAAACTGAAACGATCTTTCTGTAATTGTATTTTTCGAGAAAGGAGGACTCGTGCAGAATGAGAGTGCCGTATTGATGTAGAGAGTCACAGATGGAGTAGCCTGATTTCCAGCCTGCGAACAAATGATAATAATAATAATAATAACAATATTTATGAAGCGTAACATATCCATCTCTAGAGATGCTCAAGGCGCATACAAATAATTTAAATTAATATTCAACATAAGTTTAACAATATGCATTGAGCATCAGGTGAGTTTTAAGCCCAGTTTTGAAAGAAGAAAGAGTGTTGGCCGTCTGAATAGAGAGAGGTAACTTATTCCACAAAGAAGGAGCTGCTGATGCAAATGCTCTATCCCCCAATTGTTTTCCTTTATTTCTAACTTATGGTGATTTTTCTTTGTAGTATTTCCAAAGAGAAAAAAAATAGAAAAGGAGTATAATATATTTTTTGGTGCATCAAAGTTTTTTTCTTCTTCATTTTGCTTCAATTCAAAACGAATGTTAACTTTGTATCATGCGGTAGACAGACTCAATGTATATAAGAAAACACACTTGCTGAAAAGCGTAATCAGGAACATTGAACTCTCTCACTCTCCACCCCATTTCTCTCTCTCCTCTCTCTCTCTCTCTCTCTCTCTCTCTCTCTCTCTCTCTCTCTCTCTCTCAGTCTCTTGCTCCAATTTGCTATCTTTTACTCGTATTTGGTAATTAATCATCCATAGTTCATATTCTACCAACACAGGGGCACAGGAACATTTATTGTAGTCCTGAACATTTGTGATATTCGATCTGAATATTGTAAAATTGCAATTTCTGGCAATATTAAAACTGCAAAGAACCTGCGTGATCAGGATGCCACTTGTCTTTTCATATTTCAATATAAATCCTATCCCCTTATTTTCCCCATCATTTCCCTCTCTTTACATTTCCTTTCCTCTCTTTTCTAAAATGTTCTCCCTTTTATTATATTTTTTTCTCCAATTAGAGGGGCACGTGTCCCCCGTCCCAATAGCTACGCTACTGGTCATTACACCATTAGACATAACTCAGTATTAACAGCATCACATCAGAATGGTGCATTGAAAAGTTGGCTGTTTATTCAATGAAATACTAGCCGGTCGAATAAACGGCACAAATTAAAAATGACATACAACAGAAATGTATATATTATTTGAATTAAATTGAATTTATTTTTTCACCACCATTGAAACCATTGAAACAAAAGATATATAAATGTACAATGACAATGTCGATAGAACTTAAATATAAACATGACATGAATTAAAATACATGTTTAAAGCGATATACATTATAAAAAATCAAATAGTTATAGGTGAATTTGGTGTCAAGAGTAAAACAATAAATGACTATTACAATGACTTTTTGATCGATGGTAAAATAGAGTCAGAAATAGCACATGTGCAAGTCGAGCCTGACTCTTTAATTTTCAGCCTAAAATTAAGTAAAAGAAGAATACATGATGGATTACCAAATCCTATAATGAAGATTTATGTATGATATTACAATAATACTACTACTACAGAATCTATTATGCGCCTCGATCTATAGTATAATAATAATGTATGGTGGTGGTGGTTATTTTACCTGACTGCTAAGAAAGCAAAAAATGCTTGTAAGTAAGCAACCAGACGGTCGACGGCTTTGGGTTCTCTGCGAGGGACCTCGTAATGAGGATTAATGCCTTACCAAAGGGCACTAGCGCATCGACTTGGTTTCGAACCCAGGTCACCGGATTACGAGACCACTGCTTTACCGACTGAGCTATCGCGCCTCCTCTAGTAAACTATTCTGAAGCGCAGAGGGAGATTATTACCCTGGCTTTAGCGCGGCTGCCATTACGGCGCTCTAGCATTTTAAGGAATCAATTCCTGCAAAGGTATCCATTAACATCATCTTGGTTGGGTCTGGCAATTGTAAATCGATGTCTTGCCAGAGAACATGAGTGCCGCGGCGGGACTCGAACCGCGGACCCTGTGATCGTCAGTCCGGTGACGTATCCACTCGACCAATTTAAAATCGACAATCAAAACAACCAGTCTGGTGGTTAATACAACTATATAATTATAAAGCTATAATTCGTGGTTTTCACCTAAGACTAGTTATGTGAGCTTTTTACGAAAGGAGGTTTTTAAACTCTCCTTTCTTCGATCAGTATAGAAAGCATATTCCAAAAATTACTTCCAACAACCTAAACAGAAAACTTTCCTTAGTCTGTTTTGAATAAATAAGACGTAATTGTCTACCCGATTTTTGTCTTGTGGAATATTCATGTTGTATCATACCGCAATATTGTTTTAAGGAATGAGGTAATCGTTTATTTATCAAATCAAACACACAAGTACAAATAAGATAATTTATGAAATTTATAAACATTCAGTAATTGGAGGTCATGAAATCGTGCATTAGTATATGAGTACGATGTGGCTTGAAAGTTACAGTGCGTAAAGCCATCTTTTGAGTATAAAATATACAAATTCAAGTGTAATTTATAAGTAAAGTACTACCCCAAATCTCGATGCCCTGTGTAATATGTGGTTGTATTAGAGCTTTATACAGCAGTATCAATATATGTTTAGGGACAAAGTGCCGTAATTTAAAGAGGATACCGACCTTTCTCCGTTACAGTCTTTAACATGTTTGATATGTGAATTCCAAGTTAAATGTCTGTCAATGGTAATACCAACAAATGTCGCTTCCCCCACTTCCCTTTATTCTGCCCCATATATTTTCGATCTCCCTCTAAGCACGACCTTTCTTCTACGACTACTAAAGTACATGACATTGGTTTTTGACGCATTGATAGTAAGCGTATTTGCAGTGCACCAACTTTGTAGCGTATTTAAATTTTTATTTACTTTAAACTCATCTATTTGATTTACACCTTTGGGAAAAGAATGAAAATTATTAGAATCATCTGCAAATAGTTTTAAATTGAAATAATTTGTCACAGTTAGCAAGTCATTTATATACATTAACAACAGAGTCGGTCCTAAGACAGAACCTAGTGGTACACCACATTTGATTATCTACTATCTGAGGATGACTCTTTGTATTTCTCAAACTGCATTCTGTCACTAAAATAGCTTTCGAGCCATTTCAGTGCAAGTCCCCGGATGCCATTATGGGAAAGCTTTTTAAATTACATGTTGTGGTTTATCTTGTGTGCATTCTGATTTGAGATTAGAAAAGTGAAATTGCATAGCATATTTACAGAAATGAAATATACGTCGTCTCCAGCGTGAAGACAAAAATATGCACCGTTCCCATTTTCCTTTTATTCAGTATCCCAAATTTAAAATAGCTTCTAAGAGATTTTAGAGGCAAAGTTATATTCAAGAAATGGTAGATATTATTAAAAAATGAAGCTAATTCTCAAATTGTTAGATGCCACTTCGTTTCTTTTCACCACTTTCAGTTTTACACGATGTACGGTGTAAATATTGCCTCTATAATATTTGATATCTTAAAAGTACAACTGAACCGTCTAAGCCATACGAGATTAATCCTCTTTTTAAATCTAAGACAAGTACTACAATTTAACATTATTTCAATGATACAATGTTGGTCAAAATGGTGGAATAATTATTTTTACCCCAATTTATGGAGTTATTTTGACAATTATTTATTCCTAATAGATCTAAATAATAGTATACATTCTCAGATTTTATTGAATAATAATTTGCGAGTGTTTGTTTTGCGTGACTGCTAGAGCATGTGTGTGATAATATGCTAATCAACTTTTTTTTTTTATTTGTGGGGGCGGCCGCGTACCCTAGCCCCCGTTGCGTACAGTCATGATTCAGTAGCTAAGCGATCGTAACTGTGAGCCCCCAGGATCAAAATTGTGTCGATGTGCTATAGTAGTGCCCTTTTATGTGGCATTAATCCTCATTACTGTCAGTTATGGCTTTAATGACGTAGGTCCCCTAGTTGAAAAGCATTGTAGCATACACATGCTTTAGCAGTTACGCAAAACAAACACTCGCAAATTATTATTCAATAAAATCTGAGAATGTATACTATTATCTAGATCTATTAGGAATAAATCATTGTCAAAATCACTCCTTAAATTGGGATAAAAATGTTTATTCCACCATTATGACCAACAGTGTATATACGAAATATTTAACATCATATATTAATATTCTGCTTCCAGGCAACATCCGGTAACTCGAATTTTTCGGTACAATTCAAACCTACCATCAGGTCTGTCACTAGTATTATCAAAAATAATTACAATAATAATGAAAACAATAACGATAATTAATAATTTATTAAAAATAATAATAATACAAATAACATGCTTGTAAATTTATATGAAAGTATAATATCTGATTGTATTTTGAAGTTGTATTGCTCTGCATATGTATGTGCACACCACTTACATTAGTGGTCGAACTGTCATGTGGTTTTCGAATAAATACTATTTCAATCAATCAATCAATCAATTAAATGGCTTAATCCATGTATACAGCCTTGTTCCGTCTCACAAGGCTGGGAGTCATAAAGACTGAGCATATCAAGAGATGGTTTAATTTCTAATGTAATCAGACATGTCCTTGGCCGTCCCTAAACTAAAGCGGGAATATTGAAGAGATAGGTGGTGGTGGATATTTTACCTGACTGCTAAGAAAGCATAAATAAATGCTTGTAAGTAAGTAACCAGACGACCGACGGCTTTAAGTTCTCTCCGAGGGCCCTGGTAATGTGAATTAATACCTTACCAAAGGGCACTAGCGCAGCGACTTGGTTTCGAACCCGGGTCACCGGATTACGAGACCACTGCTTTACCGACTGAGCTATCACGCCTCCATGTTAAGCTACCCGAAGTTCACCACCCCGAGTATCTCGAATCTCATTCCACCGAAGTAATACCCTGAAAAAGGATGCAACCGGATGTAACGTGCTACCACTGGTTTAGGAAAAAGTTTCGTCGATGGAGTAATTCCATCGAGGTTCCCTGGATATGTCTGCAAAAAAAGTAAAAACGAGGATACATTTTTTAAGATTGAATAACAGCTAAATGGAAATCAAAAGAGTCCTGGTGGCTAGCAAGTATTTCATAGCTACTGGTGTAGCATATTACGTTTTGAAAAGAAGAGAAAAGAGTCCAAAATGTTCATGTCCAGAATTGCCGTAGTGTTTAATATTGAAAACACGGAATACGCTAGAATAACATGTTTTTTTTAGAAGAAGTGCGAGCTTTCTGGAAAATATTTGTTATGCGTCTGATTCCATGACGTAAACATTCAGACACAATTTACGAAACTTAATACATGAAAATACTCGGAAAACAGTGAATAACGCACATTGAATGTAGTGTCCTCGTCGTTTATTACGTAGCAGATTGTACAAAAGGCATGAGGAAATCTTTCAGTCAACCTGTTATTGATAATTTGTTTAGAATAAATCAGTTGTAACGTTTATTTCATATGTCTGCCATTTAGAAAGTTCCCAACATAACTAATTCTCCATAGGTTTTGAAGATAGTTGAACCACAGCAATCGATTTTCGGAAGTTATGTCTGACTGGTATGTGCCATCATACTCGGGTATCAATTTACCCCCTCCGTTTCGTTTTTAGAACCAGTGCAAAATCTGTTTTGTTATAGATACAGATTGAGGAAAAATGAACATAAAGACGCACACCTTTCTTCTTCCTTTTCTTTTAAAAGGGTTTTGCTTTGCTTAAACATTGAAAGTAGAGTTGGACATTGTATGTTCTTATTTAATCTTCTTCTTCTTCTTCAGCTATGAGAAGCAAATAATTTATGTTTAAAATTCAATTCCGATTAACTCATTTCTATGGGCATAATTTTGTTGGTGGATCAGACAGAAACTAAGAACGACCGCCCTCCTGAACCCTGTATTGAAACCAAAATAGCCTGCTCATTTCTGAAAGTCTGGATTCACCAAACCAATCCTTTAGGAAACACCATTTCCATGATTACACATACTCACTCTGCGCGATCCACATTCTTTTTCCAGTGCATAGGTCCATTCTTGGTTGTCTACCGAATAGGAAATCTGGAGAGATGTATACCATCGGATGTAATTTTCACCGCCTTGAGTTATGACACCGGTAACCACGGATTCCTTTCCTAGGTCGACCTGGGATATAATTAAAAAATAGGTGTAGGTTTAGGAAAATTTGTCTATTCTCTGAAACATTTTTTTGGAAAAGATCGATAATCTAACTATCTTCCGCTTATGTGAAGGAAGTGTCATTGTATACATGTAGGTATATATATCTATATACAAATATATTGCATGAAAGTAAAACGTACGATCGATCGGTCGATCTTCAGTAAAGTTCTTAAACTTGTGTCAAATGTAAAGTGAAAACTTTCTATGAAGCCCATTATTCAAGTGCGTAGTAAAATCATTTTACACACTTTGACAATGTTGACTACGGTGAAGGTACATTTCAGTGAGCAAGTGACTGGTACAAATTGCTCTCTATTACGAAAAGTGTGTTTGTAGTCATATTTAGGTAATTTGAAGGGGGTACTTATACTATACTAAATTTTTTATCACAAAGTGGTACATCACCTTAATCCATTTATCCTGATCATCGAGGGCCGCAGTCCACCCAGTTGTTTCGCCATCTGTTCCGATGGCATTCAGCCTTCCGCGATACGCTGCCATGGCATCGGGGTTCTGGCTTTGATATACGGATGAAGAGGTGAGACTACTGTCCGGTATCCGACCATCTTCGACACCAAGCCCCTCTCCGAGGACAGGAGGGGTACAGCCCAGCTGAACACCGCGGTTCATAGACGCTGCCAAATCAAAACATATGATGAAATAATTATGACAAATCATAATTATCATTATTACTATACTATTACTATCATAACTACTACTACTATACCTACTACTACTACTACTACTACTACTACTACTACTACTGCTACTATTATTACTACTATGCCTACTATTACTACTACTTCTGCTACTACCAAGGAGTTTTAAGAGCTGGAGTCCCAACTGGCACCAATCATTTCAAGCAGCTGCCGATTTCTAAGGTTGCAAAATAGAAGCTACAGGTGTGCTGTTCCCACTGATGTCCGAGGTTCGGAGCCGCCAACATCATTGGAAAGCTTGAGTAGTGATTTTTCTCCCAAAGAAATATCATTAATATTTCACTTTTTATTTGAACTAACAAGGGAATAATCGCACAGATGATAAAATATGAATACAAAATTCTAATTGTGTCAAGAAATTTGCTTACATTGTTAAATAGCAGTTTTAATTTTTAACAAATAGTAAAATTGTAAAATCCTAAAACCTGCATTTTGACACTTTTCCGATTACTTCCGACTTACGAAAATAAAAAGTGAATTTGTTCAAGTACAGTTATTTATGATGTTATATGTCAGATTGGTGTGCACACATGCCAAGTCGAGTAATTTGATTAATATTTCGGGAAATGTTTCTCCATTTCCTTTCGCTTGCCTCCTGTAAAGGGTAGCGGCCAATCTAAAAGTCCCTACTATCCCACTACGTGGACTAGGAACAGAACAGTTTCAGATTCAGATTCAGTGGCGCATAATAAATTACTTGAAACATCAACACTTTTTGAAACTTAAAACTTATAATGTTCTCTCGGTAACTGTGTTAACTTATTATGGGCGTTCCCAACTCAAGCTATGCTTTCCGGGTTCTCGCCTCCTTCCGTATCTGAATTATTTACTGTATACTCTATGTTGAAATAATTGTTACATAATTTATGTATACATTGTTGCTTGTAAGTTTCGGCTTGGATTGTGATGTAGATACACAGGAGGTTTTCGGGTGCACCATGTGTGTGAGAGAGAGAGAGGTTTGAGGAGTCCTGAAAAGGACTCTGACTCGGTAATCTTTCTTGGAGGAGTGTAGTCCTGAAAAGGACTGTTTGTTATCTTTCTTAGCATATAGTTCTAAGGAGAACTATAGCGCTTGGAGAAGATGAGTGGCTCGACGTTTCGAACAGGTTGACTATCCGTCGTCAGGAGTGTCTCTCTCACACATGGTGCACCCGCAAACCTACTGTGTATATACATTGTGTTTCATAGTGTACTATTGATAAGGAAATAAATGTTAATAAATACAAATAAATACAAAATACATCCTTACCTATGAATTCATTGAGAGGTCCATACCCGTAGAGCTCCAGCCGAAGAGCGATATATGAGTAGCTATGTGGATGGATCCGAACAGAGCGTGCCAACATTGGTACCACGAAGACATGGGTCGAGGTTTTGTACTGTTCGCTATTTCCTCCAAACACCTATTAATATTTCATTTATCTCAGGTATTAGATGTCTTAATAAACATTTATTTGATTTGATTTGATTTGTATACAACTAATAATAAAAGCAATTAATAAAATATACCAGGAAATGGTAATGATAATAATAATAATTACAATAAAGGATAATATTGATAATAATAATGATGATAATAAAAGCAATAAGAAGGAGAAGAGGAAGAAGAATTTCGTTAATACACAGGAAAGATTCATTAGCATCAACGCTGTGCCTTCTTAGGGCCATGCATTTGATTTGATTTATTTCGGTATCGAATATAGGCCTAATCACGATCATAAGATATTTATCTATTCAATAATCAACATGCAAAAAAGTAATACATTCGTGTTTCACACGAAAAAAATTAACTAGGAGAATAAAGCCGAGTCATTATTGACCAAAATGTATAGATTGAAATGGAGGGGCATGATGTAACGATACAAATGCGACTGCGTCTCCTATATATCTCCACCCTAAAGTCATTGTAATGAATGTAAGGAATTTTTATTGGCATATCACGTTGAAAACAAAAAGCCTATAATCAAATGTCAACTGACGGCTATGATCCTGACCTACGGTACTAGCACCCAAATGTATTCGGATCATCTTCCTATAGAAATACAGTCACCATGTTAAGATCTTGCGATAGCAAGGCTAAACAACTTTTAATTTTATAAATTTACCTCTATGACCTTTGACCTACTTACCTTACATCTAATGAGACTTTGGAAAACGGATTCAAATTCATTTCATTCTGGTCGGATTAATGTATGTAGGGAGCTGATATGAAACATGCATAAATTCCCACGGGGTTGGTTGGTCTTTACTTAATTTTCGACTAGAGATTGTTTACAATAAGATAATCGAAGATGTACCTGAATTTCTCGGGAATACACGTTGAAATAGTTATACCGATCCCCACTGCTTGTACTAAATGAGATAGTGTATGACCGAGTCCAATGCTCAAACCCTGGTCTTCCTTGGGTGGCGATGCCGGTTACTACATAGCTTGATTCAAACTGGACGTCGAGCCACTTGGGGTTTGCCTGACTTGGGACCCAAGCAGATGGGCCGTTGAGTCGGGCATACTGAGTGCAAATGGATTCCGAATCATGGCAACCAGAAGAAGTGATAGCAGAGTCAGGAATAGTACCTCTTTCAAGTCCAAGTGGATCACCGAGTGGATTACACATGAGTCCTGAAAATAACAAATAAAGGAGAATACCATCAAGTTTTAGCCTCGAAGGCTTATTAATATCGTTACCACTGCTGTGATATATTTTCAAAGCGCCATCTTTCGGTGAAGGCACAAGGCTACATAGAGACATTTCTTGTTCATGTATCCAAGCATTATCACGCACCCGACACGCAGTTGATGCATTGTGGGGCAAGGATGTCGACACGTGGGGACATTGTGCGCAGGAGATGCCAGAATACGTAAATTTGAAGCAGTGTCAGTAAAATACGCTACCTCTAAAAGGGCGCATCAACACTTCATCTGCGGCCCTAATTTTCACTTTTATCTTTTCTTTGTCTTTTGGATTATCATGTTCTCCTGTTTTTTATTATCCCCCTCCCCATGTATTTCCATGGACCGCAAGTTATACGCGTATGGCGGAACACTATGTCTGGCTTTCTTGTTTTCCGTGGCCCACTCCACAGATATTTTCTCACAAATCATTTTGGCATTTACCTGTATTTCATTCAAAAATATCTTTTTAAAAATTCAGTGACCTTGTGAGAAGTACTTCCCCACGTTAGTAGAACAGAAAGTTATTTTCAAATTGAATTGAATTTATTCCACACTGGTAACGCTAAAGAGGAGTCATTAATAAATCAACTTTAAATAAATATATCTAATGTAAGAATGATAGTAACAAGAACATACTGGATATGATGCGCTTGGCACAAGTCATCGACGATGTCTCTAAGCGCTTTATGTATCATCATTGCCCCGGTCATCGGATTCATGCTTGTATTCACGCTTACAACGCACTGCAAACTACAATAACTTTCGCATTCTACCGGGTACAAAATTATCACCAGAGTGGAGGGAAGCAATGCAGATTTTTAAAAAAATTGCTTTAGGACTTTAGATCTGCCATGCCGGGGATCGAACCCACGGCCTGTGCACTACAAGTCAAGTGTTTAAACCACTCAACCACTCTATGAGGCTTACTCACCCGGACAGCAGACCACTGCTATGTTCTCCTCATTCACAGTCTCCATCGTCTCATTATGCCAGCAGTCGGTAATACTTGTGGTATTAGGTGGACATATCACTGCTGCAGCTTCGGCATCGGCGTCTATGGACGAGGCATCGTATTGCCCTCCACTTACAGTGGCAAACGCGCCTAATGAAACCATGTATGAAGTAGAAATTCATAAATATACATCTCTAAATGTTCATATGGTTTAACTTTTCATGAAAAATAGTGCAATGAACATGATTATGGCCATGTATCCGCAATGATTTGTCATTACTTATGGCAAAAATTTATTCCAGGGCATTTAAGCCAAGAGATACCTTTAATAAACATTTACTAAACGATATTCTGCGGTTTATCCTCAAGTTCTAAAACCTATAAAATAAAAAGGAGAGGATACGGCAGTCTGGCTGTTAAAAAGATTCTAAAAGATCTGAACCGCTAGGGTGAACAGAGCCATTATGTTTAGTCTAATAATACCACTTAAAACCCCTGTGCCACATTGTACTAATCATGGGATAGATATACCAGAGGCTTCAAGATTATTGACTGTTTACAGTGCAACATTAATCTATACCAGTGTTAAAATGGTTTTCATTGAGTTATTGAAGACCGGAAAATGGGTAATTTTGCAATGTCATACTAATGTTCCACAAAGCAATCCTTCCCGCAACTGGTGACTATTGATGTTTGCAAAATTGCACGTGCGGCAAATGAGCGATTGTTCAGAGAGGTGAACAAAGCAACCGAATTTTTCTCTGAATGTAGAGCAATCCAGCCGTATCTCGAAATTATTAGGCATGTTTTTGTTATGTGTATGGTTATTCATCCAAACAAGCAAGCTGTACAAAGTATTATAATTTTGTTGGTTAGCTTACGACGGCTTTGCCTTTTGCTGTGTATTAATGCTAACAGGCATACCTTCGAACCCGAGATATCGACAGATCATGTCAGATGAGTTTCTGTTCCGTTGTTCTTGGTGAATCCGCATGTACTTCGTAGGATTGGAGCGAGTTGTGAAAACGATTCGTCCTTCATGTTGGTTTCCTCCAAGAAGTTTTAAGGTGTGGATAAATGCATCTGGAATTAAATTTGGATATTTGAAAAGAAATCAATCTAAGACAATCTCAAAAGCCTTGCTCATCACTTACTCAGCTGAGGTTACAGAAATGCATTAAAAGCCCGGTGGCGTATTCCACTAATGATATCTGTGGGATATACAAAAAAAGTTTGGGAAATGTTCTTGCTTTGGATTATCTAAAGTCTTCGCGGTCGTTTTTAGAAAAGTATAAGTTACGCAATATAAGATTAATAAAAGCCTTGGGGTCTGGAATGTCACAAAACGGAAAACCCTTTCTAAAAAAAATGAAAAGGAGACGTCATTTTTGACTGACGTAGGACTGAGTCAGCGACTGATGTGATCTTTGACGCACCAAGTCAAAAAAGGAGAGAACTTGCAAACTGTGAGATCAATATTTAGACTTAAGACCTTAGAAATAAATTAGAATACAGCGACAAGGGAGATATCATTTTTTTTTTTAGATATATGCATATCTTAATTTTCCCTTTTATTTCCAACAGGACCCCTCTCCCTTATAACTCACACTTACCATATTCGCACCTGTCACCACGGTAGCCATCTAAGCAGGTGCAGTTAAATCCTGTATTGGTCTCCTCACAAGTGCCTCCATAAAGACATGGATCAGAGAGACAAGCTCAAGACGAAATTAATGCGAGAAGGGAACATAATTTAATCGGTTAGGAAGGGGCCACTGTTTCACAATTTGTTTAAATCAATAACAAGTGTCACATATATATTATCCTTTTCTTGAGCAAAGATTAGTTAAACAATCACAGATAATCTGAGCCATTGTATACACGTCTGTTAATCTTCGCTGGAAAGTTGCCTGAATGTTACGATCATTCAGGAATCGCACATACACTGTGTGGTATCCGCGTAAACCAATGGGGGATCACAGCAAAATGAAGATTACCGGGTAACGGGCATCTTCCTCATTAACTATTGACCGTTACAAGGGCAACGGGCAATAGTTCGTTTCTTTGCGGGCATGGCTAAAATCAAGACTACAATTTCGACCAATCAGATGACTAGATTTATTCAACATACTACACAGTAAAAACGCTGCTTAAAAAGTGATGTTCACTTACAGTTGTACATCTTAAACAACAGTTGAACAAATTGTAAACAATGTTGCTCGAAACGAAAGTAATTTTGTTAAACATTCGCTGTTTACAATTTAATGACTGCCGTGTTTACTATACGAGAGCTTTTAGACAGTGTTGTTTACATATGACGTCATGTGTCACGTGCCAGTACAGTGAGCGTTGGCTGAAAGTTTTATTTCACATCATGGCCGACCAATTAGCTACCGACGCGCTTGACTGTGGAGATTCAATGGCTTAATTGAAATCACTTTTCTATTAACCAATTTGAAGGTTTTAACTTATAGCGTAAGTTCACAGTTAAAATGTTCAGTATCTGTACGCAAATGTCGTCGCGTCATGCAGTGCGGCACTGATCGCACACTCGGTTATAACGTGTGCTACATTCCTTGCCTTAGAAATTGCATGCATCCCTATAGGTCTATATGCAGTTTATACTGGGCACTGTTTTGGCGCTAATTCATTAATTGCAGAATTACCCTACCATATTGTTAGTCTTCATATACCTATATAGAGACCCAGAAGAAGTGGTCCACTTTTCCAGAGTATCAAACCCAAATTATACCTCATAATAAAACCCTTTTGTTGTAAACAACCCCCACTGAACAACAGCTCCTTTTAAAACAACTTTCTTTAAAAAAAACCCAGTTGGTGTAAACAACCCCCACTAAACAACAGCTCCTTTTTAAACAACCGTCTTTAAACAACACCGGTTTTTTAAATTGTGATTTTAAACAAGTTGTTCAAAATGTTGATCAACTAAGTGTTTAAACTTTAAACAACTCGAGATGCTTAACATTTTAAACAACTCTCAGATCAGGTCACCCGTTAATCCGAGGTTGTTTAAACTTTTAAACAACTTGTTCACAATAATTTAACTGCGGATGTACACTACTTTCTTTCAAAATGAAATCGCATGGCCAGAACTCAACTTTATCTTAAACATGCAGTGGTCAATCTAAAATAATCTTAATTAATTAACTAAGGGGCACTACACTTTTAATTTTCTGATTGAAAGCTATCAAATAATCTACCGATTCAATATATATTCTATACTAAAGAGAGAAATGCATTACCGTCACGGCATTGTAGGAACTCTCTCCCTATTTTAGTACTTTGCCAAATTAGAACGAGTTCCTTTTATCATGGTCACACAAAAGATAACGACTTTGTCTTTGAAAATGGAATTGGATTATCATATGTATTATCTGCTGTAGGGTAATCATCTATCTACTATTTAAGTTTAAAGAACGCCACTTGCCGCAATTGCATTAGTGTATTGTCAAGCTCGTGCACAGTATACTTTGCCAATCAAAAGCCTTGCGACTTTTATCAAATATTTCTTTTATCATGTGCATACAGAAGATAACGATATTCTACAATTTATTTGACATCAGAATTCGATTTCTCAATTGAATGTATTGGAAACTTGTCTTCTGCCGGGTTATGAATATCACTGTTTACGTTTAAAGAAAGGGTTGTGTTTTGGGAAAGATAAAAACTGATTAGATTTTTTTGTCATTCTTTTTATATTGGTAAGGGAGAGTATCCTAGAACACAAGCATGACAAATATTTCTTAAAAGGCAGACTCTTCAAACGCCATGACGTTCAAAATATGATTATAAAAGCCGTTTACCACAATTTTCATGCCACATGATTGTATAGTACATTATACACATTTATACAAATACAAATACTCTATGTTAAACAGAAAAACATAATAGCATTCGTACGGACTCTCTTAGTATTCTAAATACACCCATTCCTTTGTATTTTGTTATCAAGTTAAGCATTCGGGAATCGCACACACACTGTATGGTATCTGCGTAAACCAATGGGGGATCACAGCAAAATGCCGATTACCCAGGCAACGGGAATCTTTCTCGTTAACTATTGACCGTTACAAGGGTAACGGGCAATAGTTCGTTTCTTTGCGGGCATGGCTAAAATCAAGACTCCAATTTTGACCAATCAGATGACTAGATTTCTTCAACATATTAAAGAGAGGTATATAAAACAAATTATCCCACAGCGAACCACATGCAATGATTTCTGTAGCTTATAAAAGTCACTGTAATTTTTTTTTATTGATATCAAGTTTTTAGAAACGGGGCACAGGGCATCGGTTCACGTAAATTCACCGACATCACATTGAAACGCGGCTAAAATGTAATACACGCATTCCAAGGGGTTGTCGGCGAACTTAAATATGACGGTTTCGTGAAGCGCTGCCCTGTTTTTGTTTTTTTAAACAAACGACCCTCTTGACGACCAAAAGCTGATCAGACGCCAATTACTATTAACGTTTAAAGAAAGGGTTGTATATTGGGAAATGTGAAAATTTTTGACTGTGATTTTGTTCATCCTTTTGATGTTGATGTGGAAGAGTATCCTAGAACAAACATGACAAATTTCTCTTGAAACGAATGGCTCTCCAAATGCAATCATATTCAAAATATGATTATAAACAGCTAAAAGATGTAGACCATAATATTCATGCCACATGTTTATGTAGTCCCATATACACATTTATGTGTACAGTGCATATAACTTTTAGCAACACTGACCCAATTTTATTTCATCTTGATGATTCCAAAACCACTCAGTTTACTCCAAACCTTATCTGCCAAAAGATTACCCTTTCCCAACCGCTTCCATGTACACTAGTTTCTTTCAAAATGAAATCGCATGGCCAGAACTCAACTTCATCTTAATTATGCAGTGGTCAATCTAAAATAATCTTAATTAATTAACTAAGGGGCACTACACTTTAAATTTTATGATTGAAAACTATTCAATAATCTATAGGTTCAATATATTCTATATTAAAGAGAGAATTGCATTATCGTCATGGCATTTGTACGAACTCTCTACCTATTTTATTACTTTGCCAAATTAGAACGAGTTTCTTTTATCATGGTCACACAAAAGATAACGACTTTGTCTTTGACAATGGAATTGGATTATCATCTGCTGTAGGGTAATCTTCTAATTACTATTTAAGTTTAAAGAACGCCACTTGCCGCAATTGCATTATTGTATTGTCAAGCTCGTGCACAGTATACTTTGCCAATCAAAAGCCTTGCGACTTTTATCAAATATTCCTTTTATCATGTGCATACAGAAGATAACGATATTCTACAATTTATTTGACATCAGAATTCGATTTCTCAATTGAATGTATTGGAAACTTGTCTTCTGCCGGGTTATGAATATCACTGTTTACGTTTAAAGAAAGGGTTGTGTTTTGGGAAAGATAAAAACTGATTAGATTTTTTTGTCATTCTTTTTATATTGGTAAGGGAGAGTATCCTAGAACACAAGCATGACAAATATTTCTTAAAAGGCAGACTCTTCAAACGCCATCATGTTGAAAATATGATTATAAAAGCCGTTTACCACAATTTTCATGCCACATGATTGTATAGTACATGATACACATTTATACAAATACAAATACTCTATGTTAAACAGAAAAACATAATAGCATTCGTACGGACTCTCTTAGTATTCTAAATACACCCATTCCTTTGTATTTTGTTATCAAGTTAAGCATTCGGGAATCGCACACACACTGTATGGTATCCGTTATTTCTAATTTTATTTCACCTTTACTTTTTTCATCTGGTGCTTGACATAATATTGTTCTTTATAATAAAAATGTTATTTTTTTCGTAGTTGTTTAATTTTGTTACTTTTGTATAATTTTTTCTTTTATATAATTTTGAATTCATGTGTTGTCACGTTTGAACTTCTTTTCACGGCCTTACTTAAAGCAGCATCTAGTTGATAGTGGTAACGTTTTA